ATGGGCTTTGTTTGGCTGGTGCGCATTGAGATTGTGCCACCTTATTAAAATAAATGTACTACGAAACTCGCTCTAAACGTCATCGTTGTTTGTGTCAGCCCATAGAGCATTTTTCGAGTTAGATTACCACCACTAAACATGTTATTTATTACTCGGGTGAAGTAAGAGAACTAGATATGGTATAGTAGATGCTGTAGGGTGCAGCAGACACACTAGACACCGATTAGGCTCTGGCGAGCAACTTGCATTGGAAATTGATTATTGGATAATGGATGGCAAAGGTTCTTTTACTATCTGTTTGTGAGTGTTGTGTGCATCAAACAATTTGGGCGGCAGTGCACGACCGTGCTCAATGGGTGAGCCGCCCCTAAATGTATATTACTAGTTTTAGACAAGATGGAAGCAGTAATGAGTTCAGTGTAAGAGTTAATAGAACCTACTAATACTCTACACTTGCTTTTGATAAATTGCGGCCCCAGTAATTATTTCAACGACCAGCTACTGCATCTGAGTGTTTCGGTCAGGCGCTTCACTGTTACACTCAGAACACTTAATTAAGTTCGATTTCTATTGGGAGAGAATTTGAAGACTCTCTAAAGTACGATATCTCGGTTATTCTGTTTGGTCTCAGGCCGGTATGGCCCCGACAGCTAACGTCGAAGCCTGCCTCCCAATTACTGATCTAAATTGTGTCAGTGGGGTGCGTAAAAACACTTACTTAACACCCCCCCCCCCACACACACAAGCGGGAAAAAAAACCGGTCCGCTGACAGCAGGACTTCAGACCTATTTCTGGGACTTTGAGCTTAAAAACATACCGTTCCTAGGCCTAATACAGGAATATGATAGTGTGTGGGGTGTAGTGGGGGCAAGTTATATAACGTTTTAGCGATATCCGACCCTACTTATTGGAGTGAGTAACGACACTGCAACAGAACAAGTGCGTGTCAGGTGGCATCACAGAGGTCAGTTGGTCGCTTTTAAGCACAAGAGTGCTATCCTGAAAAATTCTGTTTTGAGAAAATCGAAAGCAAAGTTTTTGAACCCATGAAATCTTATCTTAAAAGACAAAGAGAGTTTTCTCTACAACCAAACAAATATGCACACCAACGAAACCAAACTTCTCCTTAAGTAGAGCAATGCCCACTTTTGGTGTTGGTCAGTATTTCTGGGAACCCTCGAAATCTGGGTGAGCCCGCCGTAAAAGCGATCAGTTTAGGTCGTTGATGTGAAAAGCGACGTCGAAAATCGGTGTGCACAGAGAAAGGGCCAAAATTGAACGCACTATTTATTTTTTGCATTGACAATCGTCTTATCTAACTCAGTGACGACCGTCACAGCGCCAGTCGGGCCTATGCCCTTGTGCCGTGCTAGACCTATGCCACGGTCCCGGTTTTGCTGGTTGTTTCATTTTTTTTCTTTGTTATACAATTTGGCAATAATTTTTTCTTGGAAAACTGGAAAATCCCACTGATTTCAAAATACCAAGTAGGTCTACGACCTTCAATTTTAAGCTTATTTTCATCACGTCGACCCTATGACTATTTCCCACAGGGGGCTCCCCTGGTCAGAAGTTTTTGTTTTAGTAAGGTTTTACGGCGCTCAATACTGCATAAGGTAATATGAGCGCCAAGGGGTGAATGTCAATAGAGAAGTCCAAACGGGGAATCAGGCTTACTCTGCTCACCTCTCTAGCCTTAACAGCACAAAGCCTGCTTTGACCCTCAAGGAAGCTCGGAAATAGCAGTACACGAGAGAGTGAAAAACACACACAAGAAGTAGAGGAACAATGACAATAGTAAGAATGAGGAAAGAAAGAGCAGCAGTTCTCCCTATGTTGTTCCGACACAGTATGACCATGCCATTGACTAATCAGCCCATTTACAACTCTACTGTGAATAAGAACATGTTAATATCCCCCCTTTGAGAATGGCCTAAAGACAACTTCAGTCAGTAGCATTGCCCTGATTTTAATTAATTTTTTTTTGGGGGGGGGGGGTGTCCCGTGATCTTGAGGTTAAGATGTCTGCCTCTCATTCTATAGGTCCCAGGTTCGAATCCGGATAGCGACGGAAAATTTTCTTCTCTGAAATTTTCTCCTTTCACATCCTTTCCTGCTCACTAACAATGTTCTGTTGTCTGCTTTTGTCTCAATTTTCTACCCCCACCCCTCACCTCCTTTGCCTCCTCTAAGCTCCTGACTCTTTGTGCAGCCTTTCTACTGCTACTCCTTGGCTCCTTCTTACTGCTGTCTTTCAGCCACACCCATGATCTTATGGTAGGTAAGATGTAATACCTAGCCTTCTCGGATAAGGGTGAAAAATATCGGAGGTCCCGTGTGCAGGTTGCGCATGTTAAAGATAGGCTTCAGCCGCCACCCGGGAAAAATTGAAAATGTTCTACCAACTGAATGACCCTATGCAGTTGCGAGCGCCGTAAAACATTTACCCCCCCCCCAACAAAAAAATATTTTTAAAAAAAATGTATATATAGATCTGTTATATAGTGGTGTCCAAAAGAAACTTGAAAGTGTAATCACCCAATCATCGAGTTAAAATCTTGCACTACCCACTAATGAAGCTTACCATTTTAAAGCTAAATAAATTCTGCATCTTCTGATACATTAACATTTTAGGTATGTTAAGAGACGCCCGACATATGGTCACTCAAAGCTGACCTTAAAAAATCAGGCTTGGCAAAATTGTGCCGAATCAAAGAAACGTAGAAGTATGTTCGTGCGTGTATTGAAGCGCATCAACGTTGGTGGAATGGACATGCGTTGAATATCAAAAGAAAAGAGAATTTTATTGTCTCTGAAATGAACAGCATCTCTGGTGATATTTTCAAATCGATTAGAAAACATAGTCACAAATATCATGCTAAACCTGGACTAGTATTATTTTGCTTTTGTTTAGGAGCTATTGGTTTCGTATGGAGCTCGAACCCTTTTTATACACATGGACTGTGTTTGTTATATTTTAGACAATATCATCTATCAGTAAGGAACAGAGGCCATGGTTTGGGGTGGTCTGAGGTGAAATGAACAAGACCACCCTCTTGTGAATCACTGGATGGCTTGATTTAGTTGACTACATTGCGCACGTGTTAGTAGAGCATCATTGCATACCCGTATTTTCGTCATTGGCCTAGTCTATTATCTATTTGTGGTGGCCGAATGTTGCTATTCAAAAGGCTTTTTAATGGTTGCATCGATCGACCTGCGATTTTCGCCAAAGGATTATTTAATTCTCTTGATCATGACGCCCTTCGTTTTTTTCAGTTTGCAAAAAGCTAAATTTCTTTTTTTCGTCGATGGCTTTTGTAGGGCGACGCTTCTGACTCTGTAATTTTAGAAAATCCGCCAGGTTTGTTTATTTCAAGTCGTACTCCCGTTCGATACTATAGCGCATTGTCGCGCAATACTGAGCACTATTTTAAGTGTAGTATTTAGACTATAATTTATGGTAGGCCAATGACTTTCAGTTGATGTTAATGCACCGATCATTCATTTCCTCGAAAGGGGACTCAGCAAGTATCATTTAAGTTGACATCTCAATGCATGGCAAAATATTTTCTCACAGGGCTACTACCATTTAACAATTCTTGGAAAACCAAATCATATCAAAGTTGGAGTGATCACCAGTAAATAGCCTCGATATGAATTCTACAGGTATGTGAAGTCCCATGAAACAGCAGCAGAAGAAAATTGACTCTGTTCCCAATTCAGACACTTTGTTTGCAACTGTCAATGACATTTAGGATGAAATGACAGACAATTATGCCCAAAATTTAAGAGAGCCGATGCCCAAAGGGTTCGAGCCATGCACAAGACCAATGTCTCCTAAGCAAAATTACAATGAGCAAACTGTAATGTTAAGTCAAGTTTTGTGTGGTACTTGAGATTACTTTGTTTTCCGTTTTGCTTGGAACTATCCAAATAAAATATTGTTTATTGCAGGGGCAAAATTCTCCTTTCGTTGGCTATGCATTGTAAGCCCATTCTATCAATATTGATGCTGCTAAATACATGTACCCGCACGAAGACAATTTTGTGTTTCTTCGATT